GTGTTTTGTAGCGGGGTGAATTATTGTGTTTTTGACTGTGTGTCCGTGTCTGTTCGTTTGTGTATTTAGGCACCGCACGCGTTACAAACCTTCTTCCAGATCACTTGAAGAACTGATATATGCCGCCAGAACTGTTCGGACCAGAACTGCAATACGCAGTCATGTGATTACAAATACGTCCATTTGTTCATCTTGTAAAGGGTATCATTCATTACGAAGCATTATAAGTCCACTCTTTTGAGTCGGAAGGTTACCGTAAGCCAGATGAGATAATGGGTGGGGTTAGCGCAACACTTGCTCCTCTATTCTGAGAAAAGCTACATTACAATGTTGAACTATTTAATGCATTCGAGTACAGAGACTGAACACCTCGTTTTGTAATGAAGAGTTTGTAGCCATTAACATTAACTAATCATAAGTCGGTAATCTGAGATAAAAGAGGCGCTTTATCAGTAGGCGAACGCAATATTGTGGTGTACAGGAAGAATAGTGGGTAACTTGACGTCCTTTACGTACTTTCTATGGGAACATGTCCCAACAGTGAAATAACGCAACTGTGCTCGGTGCACTTGCTATTACATGGCAACACAGGAGGTGGCGCCGTTGTCGTACCAACACCGCGTATACTTCAACCATTAGTGACAACGCAATGCACCAATACTGCAGCTATTGAAAGCTCACCTGAAGGTCACGGGATCAAATCGCGGCCGCATCTAAATGGAGGCCAATGCTATAGGGGGGGGGGGGGGGGGGGTAAACAACAAGAGGGAAGGCAGGGAGGTTAACCAGGCACGTGCCCGGTTTGCTACCCTACGCTGGGGGAATAGGAAGGGGCATAAAGATGAGAGAGAGAGGAAAGAAAAGAGAAAGAGAGAGAAAAAAAAGAAAATTGTCAGCCAATCGGCTGGCGCGTATGCAGCGGTGGCACTACACAAAAGTTAAAGGTGGTCACATAGGTGCTATAGGGGTGTGTACTAAAACTTCGGTGCACGCTGAAAAATTTCATGTGGTCGAGGTCTTCGGAGCCCCGCAATACGGCACCCCTCATAACCATATAGTGGCTTTGTGATGCCAAACACCCTCCCTGCCGCGATGGTCTAGCGGCTAAGGTACTCGCCTGCTGACCGGCGGGTCGCCGGATCGAATCCCGACGGCGGCAGCTGCATTTTCGATGAAGACAAAAATGCTGTAGGCCCGTGTTCTGAGATTTGGGAGCACGTTAAAGAACCCCACGTGGTCAAAATTCGCGCAGTCCTCCACTACGGCGTCTCTCATAATCATATGGTGGTTTTGGTACGTCAAACCCTACATATATATCTATCTATCTACCATGATGTCAAAACCCCACAATCATCCCGCATTTGTAAATAATGATGCGTTCACATTAACAAGCTCAATAATCAGTCCTCTCAAAAATATTTCCTCCTTGACCCATCATTATCAGCCAAATTATGTTGAACGCAGAACGAATTGGTTTACCTATTCTTACAATCTTTCTTGTTTTGCACAGGCTAATTCTGTTTTAGGCCAGCGAACATCTCAATTTAGGCACATTATTTCATCATTTCTCGGCTCCGTTTCCTATCCCAAGATGCCCCTTCCCCTGCTCTTACTGACAATACCTCTTTCGGGTTACGTTGCCATTCGGACCCATTTTTCTCCTAATGTCAGCTTAAGAATCTCTTACTTCTCCCTGTTTTAGTGTTTAGAATATATCAATATGCACTTTTGTTAACTTGATCACCTAATCTGCCACGAGGCCTAAAACAATCTCTGAGCCCACAACTCATTGCAATCAGTGCTTATTGTCCCGCAGCCTCTTCAACAAATCAAGGGAAATCCCAAAATATCCAAAGTTTCTCATATTTGTTCGTACGTTCTTGTTAAAATGGACCTCAATGTGGTTACGCTTGATTGTCTAAAATCTGTGTGCAATATGTCATTTCTATTTTTCATACAGTGGGAGCCTTTGACAAAGGGCTCTATTGTTTCAAGTGCTTACCCAATTGCAGTTCAAAAACTTCATTTCGTAAAACTGTTCGCAATTGTTTTTTTTTTCATATTCTAATATTGTTTGTCTTAATGCTCACATGAAGTTATGTTACCTGTTTAAGTTATTCTCATTGTTTTCAGTTATATTTCTGTGAAACCTTGTAAACCCTCTCCTGTCATGGCGCACTCAGCGCTGCCCTATGTATAAATAAATTTCACCAATCTCAAAATACACTATCCGGCTGCTAGAATTCTTGAATCGCCTTCACCGCCTGATTGCCACATCACCCTCCTCTGGCGTTGCTCTGCGTTCCTGCGCGCTGTGACTCTTAGGCAAAACGGCCGCTCACACCCAAGTTCGAGCCTTAAAACGTCAACCGTGCTAAGAACCACTTGCTTCGAGAAGCCAGGGATCGACTCCTCAGATACCACGAGTGTCCACCTCACCTCAGATACTACGTTAACACGCTCTTTTACCGAAATTCCCACCCAACGTTTCCCCCACTATATGAATCTCTTTCCATACGCGACCAGGTTTTGCGGCGCCGACTTCAAACGCCCAGTCACTACTCATTTTCTTGTTTTCCTTTATACGCATGGCGAAACCATGGCGAAATCATGTTTGCATCAGTCTTATACTTTCGTAATCCATTCACCTCACGTAACACCCAATTAGGTGTATGTGAAGCTAACGAAACGGCCGCGAGCGCACTATGATCGTAGCATGTAGTCATGTTTCGATCATGCATGTCATGATTATCATGTTTCGACGTTTCGTTTATCTTCATCGTGCGTTCGCGTCTCGTAATGCCAAATTTGGTATATGTAAAGCTAGCGGAACGGCCGAAAGTACGCGAGTACATCATGAGCGTATCATGTAGTCACGTAATACATAATACGCATGTCATGATTATCATGTTTGGACGTGTCATACACCTTGATCATCCATTCACGTCTCGTAATACCAAATTTGGTATATGTGAAGCTAGCGAAACGACCACGAGCGCAAAATGAGCGTGTCGTATAATTATGACTTACATGACAAGCACGGCATGACCTCCACGTTAGGGCCTATCATTTACGTTCGCCATAGGGTCATGTTACGGTTTTGTAATATGTCATGTGAACGAAACCACCGCGAGAGCAGGAAGATAAAGACAACTAAATCATTACATTCATCACGTATATGTCATGATTTTCATTTTATGACTAGTCATTTATGCTCGTCAAACCGTCATGTTATGCCATACCTATTTTGGTGTAGATCTCATATTCGAAATGGCCCGGTGAGCTAAAAGCGGTAGGCGGCGAGATGGAGATAGATAGATAGATAGATAGATAGATAGATAGATAGATAGATAGATAGATAGATAGATAGATAGATAGATAGATAGATAGATAGATAGATAGATAGATAGATAGATAGATAGATAGATAGATAGATAGATAGATAGATAGATAGATAGATAGATAGATAGATAGATAGATAGATAGATAGATAGATAGATAGATAGATAGATAGATAGATAGATAGATAGATAGATAGATAGATAGATAGATAGATAGATAGATAGATAGATAGATAGATAGATAGATAGATAAATAGATAGATAGATAGATAGATAGATAGATAGATAGATAGATAGATAGATAGATAGATAGATAGATAGATAGATAGATAGATAGATAGATATATAGATAGATAGATAGATAGATAGATAGATAGATAGATAGATAGATAGATAGATAGATAGATAGATAGATAGATAGATAGATAGATAGATAGATAGATAGATAGATAGATAGATAGATAGATAGATAGATAGATAGATAGATAGATAGATAGATAGATACGGCAAAAGTCGCTGAACTTCACCAAGAAACGCTTCGCATTTAAAATTGGTACGTAGGGACCAGAGATGCCACCAGGTGCCGCCCCGACTTGCCCCCGTATAAAGACCCAAGATCAAGGGGTTTTACCCCCATGGCAGACAACGCACGATCGTTGTGGTGCACTCATGTGCGCGCGTTCTTTTCGTTGTTTTGCTTGTTTGTAATGCGTGTATCGAGTAATTCACAAATCGAACGCCTTGAAAGCAACATTCTAGCTGTAAGAAGCCCTCTAGTGGTTGGCTCCAGGATATTCACTATCGGGCCTCAATATCTGTGCTAGCGCTTTTGTGTCCCCATCTGAGCGCGGACAAACGAAAGGAATACGCAACGCGTAACCAGGAGTACGTAAGCCTTATTTCACCTTTTGCCGCGGTGCTCCACCTCACCACTACCTAGCAGCTGTGACGTGCAATCTTGTAAAAAGTTCAAATCTGAAACGGGGTATTTATGACGCAAATAAAGACGAAATACGGTATGAACGATGCATGCGATGACCCGTGTAACTTTTTGTGACCTTCCCATAGCCCTTCGAGCATGTAATGTCCACATGCCCCACCGTGGTGGTCTGGTAGCTGAGGTACTCGACTGCTGACCCGCAGGTCGCAGATCGAATCCCGACTGTGGCGACTGCATTTTCAATGGAGGCGGAGATGCTGTATGTGCTCAGATTTGGGTGCACGTCAAACAACTCCAGGTGGTCGAAATTTTTGAAGCCCGCCACGGCGTTTCTAATAATGATTTGGTGGTTTGGGGACGTTAAACCCTACATATTAATCAATCTGTCAGCAGATAACGATAGAAGATGACAATTGCGCAGTCGTCTGGGAGCTTTTGTGTCTAGCTAACAGCTGATGGAAGCGTGCGACAAAAGCGGTGGATTACTGCACTGTTGTTACCGCGATTTCTCGCATATACATATCACAATTTATTGCACGTGGCCACTGTTCGAGCATCGCTGGCACTGTCACGTGTCTCGCACCAGCAATATGACGAGAGTTTTATCACTCTAACAGCGCTATATAAACCATACGATTGAGAACACAGCTCTTGCGCGCTCTCTTATTCTAATTGGAATGTCTTCTAGGAACTCGAATATCATATTTATAGTCTAAAGCATTTCCTGTTACTGGCTAAATCATTTTAACGGCCCCTCTTCTATTGCAGGAGCTTTCAGCATCAGCCCACATGGTACTTCCCATGAATAATTAATGAAACATACGCTAAAAAATAATGAAACATACAATATTTCTAGTGCAGCGCTGTAGCTTCAGCTGTCAATTATTTCATTCACATCAAACATTTTATGCATGATGTTATGTACCGAACGAAGCACACCGAGGGCCTCTGTTGCATGCAAAGATGTAGGCATAAATTTTTTTAGGAGGTAAGGGTGGACGGGCACAGTCAGGCAAATGGTCATTTTGCGTTCTTTGTGACATGTCGAAAAAAAAAACTGGCGGTGAGAAGGGCATGGCACCCCCTGCCTACGCCACCGGTGCCTGGTGGCATTCGCCTTCTTCACTGTGATGCCAGAATTCACACTCTGATGGTACGGCCCCAATATCCGCTAGAAATAAGCATAAATCGTTTGCTCGGGGACGAAAATTGAATTTTCATACAAGTTTGCGTTCAAAAACATTCCTAGATTGCTGTATTCACACTTTATTAACAGAAAGAAATGAATAAGTAAGCTTATGGGTATATGTTTTTTTTCTTCAGAATCAATCTCGCTGAAGCATGAAATGTAAATAATGCAGTCCAAACATTGTTCTCTAGCGATACTTGAATGCTACTGCTGGAAAATTTAATCTGCAAGGAAAAAGTTGCTACTTGCGAGTGGCAATTTATTGTACAAAAGCATGTG